GAAAAGAAAAAAAATAAATTGAGAAGTTAAAAAAAGAGAATGATAGAATTTTATTGTTAAATAAAATGTCCGATCTTGTTGTAACAAATTAATGAAACATACATATTTTGATATATCTATATACTATTATCATTGATAATGCGTAAACGTAAAACTATACTGAACGAGACAGATTAATTATTACTTTGAAATCCGAATTATAGCAGCTCCAAAAACCACGGCCACGATAAATTGATTAAAATCTATATGCTTAATTTAATCAGATGCTTTCAGGAGTGAAACCTATACGTTAAGTCAAAGCTAAAAGCCCTTTTATGCGTACGTTCCGATTTGACGTAATTCGATATATAATATAATATTTATTAACGCGGATAGGATTTCGTTTTTTTTTCCTTTTTTTTATTTTTTGTTACTTTTTCCGCGTCAATTTATTTTTCATTTTCGATTAAAATGACAGGAAATATCTCGACGCGATATTTTTGTAATTTATTTTTATCGTCACAAGAGAGGTTTATTATTATTTTTTTTTTTTCATTTTTTTTTGTGTGTGTAACCACGTTTTATATACTTTAATATTTATTATAGTTTAAAATTAAATTCAATTAACGTTATTTAACAAACGTATCGTTTGTTAATTGAGAATTATTAATACTATTCGTTATGATTATTTGTAAAAATAATAAGCGTAACAAATTATTACGAATTATTTCAGTAATATATTATCTCATCGTTATTTTTTATTATTATTATTATTATAAGTAAGAAGTATAAAAGTCTGAAAGAAGATAATAATAAGAAACGCGTTGTTTGATGTTTCTTTATAAATTTGAAAGTAACAAAAAAAAAACCAATGAAACCATTTTACTTTGCGTATTCCTTGAATTCTTCCTCCAATTTTTCTCTGTTACGTATGCATTATTATTTTATTATTATCATCATCATTATCATCATCATCGTCATCATTGTTATCATTATAAATGAGAAAACGAGTAAGAAAGATAAAATCGTGAGAGAACAACGTTTTCCTTACGAACTCAATTTTCATATTCTTCTTCTTTTCCATTTAAATGTTTCCGTTTTTTTTTTCCCTTAACCCCCACCCCACACCCCTGAAATGACAAACGTTTTCCTGCTAACGAGCCTGGCCATGTGCAATTTACCATCCAGTATTCCGATCATTATTTTTCCTTGATCGTTTGACACTTCGTTCATATTTTTCTCTTTAAAAAAGACAAAAAAAACGAAAAAGAAAAAAAAAAATAGAAATTATTCAACTCTCGAAGAGAAAAAGAAGTATAATAAAATTTGGCTTGCTTAAAAAGAAGGAAAAAAGATAAGAAAATAGAAACAACATAAATGAAACGAAAAGAAGAATTGAAATGGCAGGTGTAAATACGTAATTTGCAAAAAAAAAAAAAGAAAAAAGAAAAAGGGCAAGAGCTTTTCAAGTTATTTTTCGAGAACCCTTATCTTGATGAGAGACTGTGTTAAAAGCTCCGATTTAATGAGTTTTAATGCAACCAAATCTACGGCACCAAAAAAAAAGATAAAGAGAAAAAGAAAGAATGAGAAAGATAAAGAGAGAGAGAGAGAGAGAAAATAAAATATTCTAGTGCAACAACCGACACCGTGGTGTAATGATAAAAAAAAAAAAAGAAAAGAAAAGAAAAAGAAAAAAACAATTCGAATAAATCCGTACCAATTAACTCCAGTTGGGTCTATAAATCAGACTTTAAAGAACGTATCGATCGTTTAATTGAACTCGAAGCAACATTAAACTCAAAAAAAAAATATATATATATATATATATAGAGAGAGAGAGAGAGAGAAAGAGAAAGAAAAACCTTATGACACTTACACCAATAAAAATGATATATGTAACTGTAAGTCGATAAAACAATAAAATACGAAAGATCCTAATTAAAATAGAAATCTGAACAGGTAAAATAAAAAATAGTAAAGCAACAATTACAAATACAGAATATCAATTCTAAAAATGAAAGAAATGTAATTCAAAATAAATATTACTTAAAAAGTTTATGAGAAATTATTAAATTTTGTGGACAATTGTTATTATTTTTCTTTTGTTTCACCCATTAGCCAAATATCAAAAGCATAAAGTTAAAAAAAGGAATAAAGAATAAAATGAATATTGGATTCATTAATATATTTGTTATTTGCGTGTAGGAAAATAAATTAATTCGTTTAATGAACGAATGTGAAAGATACAGAAAATAATAAGATTAAGTTTAATTTGACATTAATATGAGAAAAATAAGTAACAATTGTTTATAACCGAAATTATTCATGGTATAAAAGAATCTATGGCCAAACCCATTGTTAAATCGGTGAGTAAGCTCCACTCACCGTTAATGGGGTGGAGCTTGGTGTTGGGCATCTTGCAATGTGCGGTGTGAAGAACTAGCTCACCAGTTTCGGCTGCAGCTTGCAATAGCATCTGTTGATGATGGTGTTGTCTCGTCGATGATCTGTGATGGTGTACGCTGTTCAAAACGATGTTGCTTGATGTTCTGCTCAAAGCTTTACGTTGTCTGACCGCTTCCTTGTAGATTTTGCAGTACATCACTATCATCACCAGACCAGGTATCCAAAAGGATACGCACGAGCTGATCACTGCATACGGACGATTCACTATGAATGCACAAACCTGAAAGAAAGGAAAGATATATTCAATAATATTCTTTTTTATTTTATTATAAACGAATAAGAATATTATATTGTTACAATACATTTGTTTTGTCATCAATAATATATTAATAATATATATATATATATACAGAAATTATTAAAATAAATTTAAAAATGTGCCAATATATTTCGGTGTGCTGATTTTTCTGTGTGCCGATTATTCGAGTTTTCAACTAAACGAGGATGTTTATTTTAACAAAAATCTACTGGGAAATTAAAAAATTGTATCGATAGTAATATTCAATGATCTTTGAGCAAAAAAAAAAAAATGGCAATTAATAGATAAATAAATAATCATATAATATTTGTTATTTTAATTGAATAATTTGTATATAATATAATAATACACTTATCAAATAATATACATTTAATCTACTAATTAATGTAACAATATTTAAACAAGGTATCAGTTATGTTATATTAGAAATATTAGATAGGTGATAGGCATTTTAAGGTCTACGATCGATAGTAATCCTCTTATAAACGACTAACAGGTGATGCACGTTATATTAGTTAAGGATTCGTTCCACCTTACCTATATCTTCCGGAGGTAACCGGAGCATCGTACTTAGAACTGTCATGAGATATTTTTATCTTAACCGAGAAAGAATTAGTTGGAAAGAAACAAAGATAATTTTAAATCGAGTTTGTTTTTCTTTCTCCATTTGTGTGTGTGTGTGTGTGTTTTTTTTTTCCTTAACGAGTAACAACCAAGCGACTTTATAAGAACCGAAGAATTTCATTTATAATAGGATTACTTCCCCAACCAACAAGGGTGTCTTTATTTCCGTTTGATTCGTAGCTCATTAACGTTGAAAACTTTTCGCGGAAAGTAATCTTAGAATATTTTCCAACTAAAATTCAATATCTAGAAAGCACAGAGAAAAAAAGAAAAAAAAAAGAGAGAAAAGTTGGGGTATCGAACGAAGTTGGGAATTAAGTATCGAGATAAATAAGAGAAAAATCGAAGAAGAGTGTATAGCAAAAGTTCTTCGTTTAAAACACTCGAGAGGGGGTAGGGAATCGATAAAATTAGCAAACAAAAAAAACAAAAAATGAAATGAGAAAGATAAAACATATGTAACATACCTCGGGATTCTTAACCATGAATTCGAGATGTTCTTCGGTGGTATACCAGCCCATAAAAATAGGTATAAAGCTGATAAGAGCTGGTAAAATCCATGCACTTCCAAGCATACAACCGACGGTACCTTGTCTCATGATGACCGTGTATTCGAGAGGGCTCACTATTGCGTAATACCTATCGACACTGATACAACAAAGATGGAGTATAGATGCGGTTGAGAAATAAACATCCAACGAACTCCAGACGTCGCACATGAAACGTCCGAATAACCATCTGCCACCTGATAATTCGACCGATGCATTGAAGGTCATTGCACACATGGCAACCAACAAATCAGCAGCTGCCAAACTGACGACGTAACAATTGGTAACAACCCGTAATCTTCTGTGTCTTCTAACGCTAGCAATGACCAATGCATTACCTAATACAGCTGTTGTTATTATACTACCCATTATTATACCCTTAATCACTACAACAAATACGTTCACGTTTTCCGGTAAATTTTCAACAGTTGGATTTTCAACCGGTACCGATGTTACGTTGTTACTACCACTACCACCGGAAGTCGTGGTACCGTTACTTCCTGTAGTTTGAGTCGGATCCACCACCCTACATGGTATACTCATCGTTACGGCCGCCGCCGCCATTACGTTCAACATGGCGTAACTGCCCTCTCGATTATCTCGACCCACGACACTTCCAATAATAATTTTAACTTTTTTTTATTAACGATCAGCATTATGAATCGTTAATAATGAAAATCATTTACGTGGATATATAATATATATATATGTATGTATATATCATTGGAAGATTATTTGTATATTTATCTTCTTATATTGATTATTAATTTATTTTTATTTTTATTTATTAAATTGTGTTTTAATTATTACATTATATATTTTATTTCATCTTCCAGTTATTTTACGACTCCTCGCGAGTCTTTCTCGTGGATTCTTGATAAGACATTTTCTTCTTCTGGCCCGAAGAGCCACGTCGTACGACCTCAGTGAGTTTCTCATTGGGTTCGGAGAACTATCGTTGTTAAAAGTTTTCTTTACAATTTTCTTAGTGTATGTGTGTGTGTATGTGTGTGTGTGTGTGTTTATGTCTCTTGGCGTTATTTTCTTATTTCTTTTTCTTTATTAATTTTGTTTTATTCCTTTCTCTTCTATTTTTTTTCTTTTCTTCTTTTTTTTTTTTTTTCGTCGTATACAAATATAATATTATCTATTCCGAGTGTTTTTTTTTTATTTTTATCGTTCGCGATTATCCTTCTCGTTCTTCAAATTCTCGCTATAAAAATGTCACATTAATAATCAATCTACTACTACAATAAACTATATAATTTTATTCGTTGACTTATTTTTTCTATTATCAAAAATCTAATCACATGCGTGCGTGCGTGTACATATATTTATAGAAATATCGATAAAATTCTCCTAGATATTAATTTTACCTTCAAAGGTTTTGGTATAACTGGCAAGGTAATTCATTCTATTTTAATAAAAAAAAAAAAAAATGTATGTGTAAATATATATATTTGTCGTAAACGTATTCATGTTCCAATTTGACTGTAATACTTGATTTGAGTTTGACGTGCCTCGAGTAAATAAATTTCATCGGAGTAAGATAAATATTAGGGAAGGGAAAAATAAAGGAATAGAAGAAGGGTTGGGATTTGGGAAGAGAAAGAGAGACAGTGACAGTGACAGAGAAACAGAGAAACAAATAGATAGATCGAATCGAAAGGGTGGGGTGGGGGCGGGGGAGGGGGATTGGGGAAAAAATAAAAAGAGATCGTGAACACGAGCGATATCGTGAATAAAAAACGACCTTAAAATGCTTGTAGACACGAGCCACACACACACGCACACACACATACATACATTAAGAAGAAAGGATACAGATAGATAGTATTACAATGTAGATTACGACAGTAAAAGGTACACAGTATTTCCGGCAAGAAAAATAAAAGGTTTTCAGGATTCATTTTAACTGTGTAATTTTTTTTTTGTATTCTTTCCTGATAGTTATATTAGAAACTAATTGATATTTGTTTTTACAAATTGATCGACAATGGCTCGATAGAAAAATAATTCGAATAATAATTTCGTCAACGTAGAAGAATTTTTATATAATCATAAGAGTAAAGGAAATAATAAGTGTTATAAGTAATTAAAAATTTGTTTAAAAATTATTTAAGTACAGTTAAATTGAATCGTTATAAGTAAAAAGGGTATCGGATATAATAGATAGATAGATAATCGATAATATTAAACGATATATATATATATTTTATATAAACTTTTATTATTAATAAAATTTGGTTATTTAACTCATTCTTTAGCACGTATGTAGTAATAATAGTAATAGTAATAGTAGCAGTAGTAGGAGTTAACAAAATTAAAAAAGACAAAACACGTATGAGAAAAATCGTTTCTCGATAATTAATCAACTACACGTCGAATATATTCTTTTTTCTTCTCCTCTCCTCGTATGACTTTTCATCTCTCGAATTTTTCATATTAATAAAATGAAATTGTTCGCGGTAATAAAGAACCCATATATATATTATAAATCGAATGAATCTCATAACGAATTTGAATTATTCAACGTCAATCATATTATAGAAATAAAGTTATCACGAGCGTATATTAATTTTATTTCAAATCTAATATAATTCATTATTCTTAAATGATTGATACAATATATTATGTTAATGTATAAAATGTCATTTTTCTCATAAGAATTTTTTTTCCCTTTATACACATTTTTTATCGTTACACAATATTCAACTTTTATTAATTCAATTATAATGTAAAAAAAAAAGGGAAGAGTTATATAATTATATAAAAAAAAATGTATAACAAGTGTAACACCGTATATTTATCGTTAACTTTAATTATATTATTATCATCATCATTTTTTTACGCGTTAAACGACAACGACAACAACAACGAAGAAGAAGAATAAAAAGAAAAAGAAAAAGAAAAAGAAAAAGAAAAAGAAAATGACGGAACTTGTATTAAGAGGAAAGAGGTTAACAACTTCCCGGAAGCGATACGTGCCGCTCGAAAAGCGGATATCTCGAGTACGACTGTGACCTCGAGATAGAAAACGTCTCGCCATTTTACCCTCAAACCATTTTATCTCCTCCCAGCTCCCCTTCTTCCCTCCGTTACATCCCTCTTAACTCACCCACTACCCTTCTACCGTTTGAACGAAATTATTTGAAAGGTTTTGAAATTTATCTGTTCTATCGCAGCATCCGATCAAAAATTCCTCATATCTATAATTTCTAAGAAAATATTATTCAAGATTGTGTACGCGTGTTAAGATTATGCATGTTTATACAAAGATGAGAATAATTGTTAATATTTAAACAATTTTAATAATTTTAATTATTCGCTATTTAATGGAATAAATGATTAGGAATGTATGGTTATAGTGTTTTAATAAGAGAGGGATTCAGATAATTAGTTTTTATTCATTATATTTTATTTATTTTGTAGTAATTTATGATATATATATCTTTAATAGATTTTTTTTTGTATGAAAAAGGTATTATATTTATGAGTCGTAGAAATAGTGATTAGTTTGGAAGATATTTTGAAAAGGTCATTCTTTAGATTAAACTAGTATACATCGTGTATATTATATTATTCATTAAATATTCGAAACTTCAAAGTTTCCACAAAAGTTACATGTTAAATCATTTATGTGATATATATAAATATACTATCTACACAAGCACAGGAAAACTTGAAATAATATTTTGTTCTTTTTATTTCTCCATTTTTGATTTACTCGATAAATATAATACACTTTTTTTTTTAAATAAAAAATTCAATTTTATCTCATCTACGTGAATTAACGTAGAGAAAAATATTCATAATTAATAAGATAGATCAATCCTTGATAACTTTAGCACGATCTTACGAAGCTTTCAAACGATTTCTATCATTTGTCAAAATTGATTTATGCCTATGCTGGTTAATCTATCTCATGAATAAAAAAAAAATAAATAAATAAATAAAAAGATCTACGATAGTTTATATAATATCATTTTAATTCGATTTGAAGTACGATATAAATATTGTTGTGTTTTATCTTGTCAATTTGTTCCCCATTATTTATATCGTCGATTCATCTACCCACACTTTTCAATATTATTATGAATTACCACGCAAACCACATCTAACTTCAACGCTTATTCTTCATTTTTCATACCGATTTCTACTCGATCCGTTATTTATATAGTATGGCTAGGGAAATATTAAATATTATACTAGCTCAGTTCTCTCAAGATCGATGATAGTTTCCGATAGGAGAATAATAAAAAAAAAAAAAGCTTCTTCTTTTTAACTTATTATTTTTCTATTTTCTTTTTTATTTTTTTCCACGTTCAAAAATACGTAAATAAAATGTTATACCTTCAAATAATATAACAATATTGTCGGAATAAACAACTACAATAATATATTATTGCTTTGTGTATAAAGGTAATAAAGGGTTATGTGGGACAACCTGTATATTCATCAAAAATAAAAAAGAAATAATAATAATAATAATAATAGAAGAATAAAATATAATGCAATTACTACGTTTATTCGAACGTAAATAAAATGTCACGTATTTGGTAACTTTCTTCAAAGTAAAAATATTTTTTTCGATTGGATTCTGACGTAAAGAAAAGTAAAATAAAAAACCAAACAAATTAAATTACTATATACATATATATATATATTTATAAAATGTTACATTCATTCGCGAAACCCCCACAAATTCAATCTTTCATAATTTTCGCATGAATGATTTTAATTGACACGCCAAACGCAAAAATCGAAACTCTCGCCGTGTGATATTTTCCTTCTAAAAAAAATTACTTTCTTCAATTGGGGGGAAAAAGAAATAAAAATAAAATTTCTCTCTCCTTTTTATATATATATATAATATATTAAAAACATAAAACAATTTATTTTAGTTGGACTGAACACGAAGTTTCAATTTCGATCAAAAATAACAAATGTTTTCAATAAATTCTAAATTTGAAAGAATATTTTTACACACACACACACATGCGTGAGTGTAATAAATCTTTTTTTTTTTATTTTGCCTCTTTTTATACTTTCTATTTTCTTTCCATATCCTTTATTTTCAATGATTTTCAATTCGTTTTAATATAATACTACGTATTGAATTAAGCAATTAATTGGGATTATAAATCGAACTTATTATAATGGCAGTATTTTAAACGAATATCCAATTAAAAGATCGGAACTTTTAACGTGAAAAATTTTTAAATGTTTGGTAAAAGATCAAAATAAACGATGTTTTATAGACAAATGGGGTTGACTGAAGCTCAATATTAAAAGAAATGTTCAATTTCTAACTACCTTCGGGCAATCGATTCTGAATTTCATAGAAAATAAACAAGTTGTGTGTACCTGTGTATGTGTGTGTGTGTATCTGTGTCTGATTGACTTTTACGTGAGTTAAGATTACATAATATCGGCTTGAATATTTGTTTCCTTTTTTTTTTTATTACAAAAATAAATCATCATAAAGATAAATAATAAAATATAAAGATATATAATTTTTATAAATACGTGGGTGGTTTCAGAAATTTTAGACACAGACTACAATTGTTTTGTAAAAAAAACTGTAAAAATAAATAAAGATTAATTTTCATCGATAACAAACAATTCGAATTCCTTGAGTGTTGTGTTCCTTCCCCGAAATGAATAATTGAAATAATACAAATTTTCAAATAATGCACGGTTACGACGTGTAAGTACTTTTCTACCTGTACGTACACGTCCGAGATGAAAACGATGGCAAATGAACTTGTCGATGTCGAAGCACGAAATCCAATTGGGAACAATTAACGAGGCTATTGGTGTTCTGCTGACAAATATCCGACTACGAGGCCAAATTCGACGATTCGAGCATCGAAAAAGTTTTATTCCCCAGTAGTCCTCTATTATTGATTTAAATACTAATCCTTCCCCTGTGTGTGTAAAAAGAATCATTTGTTTATTCTATTTAAAATGATAATTTTTCATATAAAATTGAATCGTAATTATTTTTCGATTGTATTTAAAAGTAAAACAAAAAAATTCTATAAAAGAAAAATATAAAAAACGATTGATCAGCTGAAAAAAGAATACAATACTATTTTTAAAAATTAAACACGAACTAGACAATGTGTCTATTGTAATATGTATATAGTTAATATATAAGTAATAGAATAAGATCAAATTTAATTATCATAAAAATTATAATAAAGTATTCGTATTAATCGTTACAGTTGTTGTGGGGATCAAACAATAATTAATTAAAACGATTATTTTAGTAATTAAAAAAAAACAAACATAAATCGTCAAAATAAACGCAAACGATACATATGCAATTTTTATGGAAATAAAATAAAAAATTGAACACTATCGCGAGTGTTTTATATGAAATTTGTTATTGTTGTAACCTTCGTGAAAAATGTAACGATTTAACAGTTTGATCGTGACTGAAATAAACGATCAGTTTCTAATACTAGAACGATGTACGATATACGATAAGGGATGAATGATAACATCGACGAACCTGTGGACGGGGATCAGCCGTTATGTGGTTTCGATGAATGATAATTTAAAAAAGATAGCAAAAAAAAACCACACGATGCGGATCGATTTAACGAGGCAACACACAACATACAAGACTTCTACTCTTGTCTGTGGGAGTGTTGTATAAAGGAACTTTATCTCGAAAATAATAGACGTTCGCTCGAATAAACTAGAAAGGTGTGTTCAATTTTATTTTTTCCATCATTAAATATATCGCTTGTTAAACCTACTGCAAAAGTGATAAACAAGAGTGTATCATCTGTTTGACCAAAATAAATTGATTTACATATCAAATTCATTAGACATTTTCTCGATGTGATTATTATATTTTAATTAATTAAATATCCAAAATAACGTTATAGATACAAAAAGAAAATAATTTTCAACGTGTGTAATACGAGATCTTAGTATTAAAAGAAAAAAAAATTTGTCTGCATCTTTATATAAAAAAAAAGAAAAAAGATACAAATGAAATGAACTTAAAAAGTCATCAATATTTTTTTAATATTAATATCAATTACGAGAAATAATTTTGCGAGAATTCGTAATGGTGTCGAATAATCAGAAATAATGTGCAAATATAAAATGTTCGAATGGTTTCATTTAATTTTAACTATCGTCCTATCAACGTTGCAATAAAAAGAAAATTTATTACCAAATAGCTTACTGAGTAATGTTGAAATACAATAAATTCTCTCGAAATGTTTATTACGTTAAATAATGGATAGATAATTTTCAAAATATAATTATCGTTGGAAGATTAACACAACCGATAGCCACGGAAAATATTATATCTGTTTCACGAATTTGAGGCAAAAAATTTCAAATAAGAATAATTAAAAAAAAAAAAGAAAAAAAGGAAAAGAGAGAGAGAGAGAGAGAGGAACGCGAGATTAATACTTAAAAGGTCTTAACACTATTTCGTTAGGTGAAATGTCTTGAAATTAATTAATAGGTGAACTTGCACATGCATATTCATATCATCCTTCTCGCATGCCGTACCTGTTATGTTCATTATCACTATATTACTTTCCTTCTCCTCCCCACCCCTGTCCCCTTTCTCTCTATCACCCTTTTTAATCCTCTTTCTCTATCTTTTTTACATAATTACAAATAAACCGAAAAAAAAAACCTATTCATAAATTTTTCTTCGAGAGAGTGGTGTTCCTTTCCATCGATTTAAATAAAGAAAAAGATAAAGAAAAAGAAAGTATAATTTTCAAGGACAATAAAAGTTATCGGCGTACTGTACACTAATTAATGAACACCGCAATAACCTTTCTTCATTTTTTCATCGAATTTCTCTTTTCAACCTTAATTAATCAAGAAGAAAAAGAAGTATCGTAAGATTCAGATTTCTATTCATTCATCTCATTATCATCCCTATCAATTTGTTTACCCGCCATTTTTCTTTACTTTATTCCCCTCAAACATCATCATCGTCAACATCATCATCATAGATAGTTTACATTCCAAAAATAATTATGCAATATCTGTTTTAATCATTTAATTTCGATCATCTGTTATTGAATAGAATTTTGATTATCATTTTATTGGTTATTATTGATAAACAAATGGTAATCATTGACTAATATCTTTGTTTGAGAGGTATCCAAAAGTTTAAAGCTTTCTTTTCACGATAAGAATAGAAAAAGGGATGGATAAGAGGGAGGGGGTGTGTGAGTAAAAGAGAAAGAGAAGAGTCTTTAGAAATACAAATTCAAAGAAAAAAAAAAAAGAGAGATCGACGAAGAACACTCGACTGACACGACTCTTGACCCTAAAACCTGCATCGTCCAGGGTCTACGCCGTTCGATGAATCCAACGTCAAGTATCGATTAAAGTTCCGCGGGAAGTGCAGCCTACGACGAATCGTGCAGCCCTAACGTAAGTAAGTACATCATACATGTATATATAAATATAATTATATATATGTATATATATAGACATGTGGTCCCGTAAACAACCCCAAGGAATCCTATGAAAACCAAAAACAACCGATATATTTCCTATTTCCCACTTTAAAATTTCCAATTTCAATAAAACATATGTACACTATCGTGTGTGAGAAAAAAAAAAGATAAGAAGTAACAGTTTTATTTCAAATTATAAATAAATTCTCATCCCAAAAATGAATCACTAATTATATAAAATATGTTAAAATTAACATACAAACATCTATTTCACCTAATTACGCTCGATCGTGTATCAAAAGACACGTACACGCACACGCACACGCAAACACACGCAAATACACGCACGCAAGCATATGCACACACATACATATACGTACATATAAATTGAAAGAAATAAAAAAAACTGACTGATGATTAATTAAAGCATCGAAATATTAATGTTTGTAATTTTATTCACGGTATTATTAAGATAAAATTTTGCAAGTGGTCGCAACTAATTCGTTTAATTGCGTCCAATAAACATTAAGAATCGCGTAAGGTAATTTTCGCGCGCGTACGTGTACCCTTTCATTCATCGTTTTGAAACGAGACACCGTACATGCGACGAAGAAGCAAATACGGAAGGGTTGCAAAGACCAAGCGTGCTTTTAAAGTTCAGCCCGTACCGCGGAGTCAGGGCGCACTGTCCCTTCTTCCAATGAACAATCGAACATTTGAAGAAGATGCCGCTACGTGGCGCCACGATCGACCATACCAAAACGGCGGCGCAGCCGAAACGACGACCCTTTCGACCGATTCCTACAACCCCCACTACTATCATTCCTATTTTACTCCTGCTTTTATCATATCACTATATACTTTCCTTCTTTTCCACCCCCACCCCTACCCCTATCCTTTCCGTTTTTGGCTCTTTTACTGATCGTTGAGAATTAATTTCTTATTGCCAAGGATTTACGATCTGTGAGGACAAAATCTTCGCCGCCATTTTGGTACAATTTTGTGTACAATTCGAAATGTAGTCTAAATATTTTTGAAAATATACAAATAAAAGACCCTTTGAAGAATTCAAATAAACGGAAGTTGAAAAGATTTTTAAATACATTTTATTAAATCCTCATTCAATGAACGTAAATTTCCTTTTTATATTTTTGACGTTAACAATCGTTTGCCAAAGAGAAAACCTACGCGTTTTTCTTTCTTTTTCTTTTTTCTTTTTTTTTTTTTTTTTTAGAAGATTATGGCTTTTCAAGAGATGCACAAATCCTTAAAAGAACGAGAACAAGAAGTAAGAGAAAATGATAAAGGAAAGAGAAAAACTGTAATATCGCTCTCAGGGGAAATCGTAGTCCTCGACCATTCACTATGGGTACTGGCTCGAATCCTCTTATGGTAAATGACCGAGCATTGAACGAGAAATCGCTATAAACGTGTTGAACGAGAGAACAAAATGACCATGTTCAAACTGACTTCTAAATTATTATCATTTATTATCAACTTTCTGATTCAAATTTATCCTCTTTGCGATTAATATTATATTCAAATTATTATCAACGAATTATAATAATTTAATATTAATAATTAAAAGTAAAAACGAACGTACATAATCTCAAATTATCTACTGTGATTATAAAAATGATTCCTTGTATCTCTAACTTCAAAATGACGAGCAACTCATTATAGAAATAATTTCCTATTACGAAACCTCAATATGATAAGACAATTCATTACTGGAACAATTTCCAATATCTAACCTCAAAATGACAACTCATTCTAGTAATGATTTTCTCTAATCCCAAAATAATAATTCATTACAGGAATCATTTCCTATACTTAGACCTCAGAATAAGATCCAACGCTTTAATAGAAATAATTTCTGTTTTAAAAATTTCATAATACATAGTTTTAAAATGATAGCCCATAATAATAATATCAAAAAATTGTTGAACGAATAAATGATCAAACGATTGAAAATTCAATTTGAAAAATTGATCTTACTTATAGAGCTAAAAAGGTTAAAAATGAGCATTAAACTAAACCTTTAAAGTTTACTGCACGATATATAATATATTATGAAAAGAAATAAACGAAATTGTATCGAGAAACACGATAAAAATGAATTTAGTCGGAAAAAGTCATTTCTTTCGTAAAAAGATTCGAGAAGAAAAAAAGAGGAAAATCGAAAATTACGATGACGATTTATCGCCACCCCTGCAGAAGTCCAATCGAAAGTAGGTAGTACACTGATCGGATTACCTTTTCTATCCTTCGAAACGATATTGAACCTAATAAACAGCCACGTTTAAGCTTATCGATAGAGACAAGTTAACGATATTCGTGTTGATCTCATGAATGGTTTCTGTAATATTATCGCTATCCTTTTCGTAATATCTAAACTGCAATTTGGTATTATACATTACATGTAATTACTAACTAATCGTATCTATAGATATTAAAATTAATTCGATCGATTTATTTCTAAACTTTTTCAAAATATAATTTATTATATTGATCAATTGAAATAAATATTTATATGTTAATATTAAAATATTAATAAATAATTTTGATGTTCCATGATTCCCATAAATAATAGGATTGTCTAAAACAAGAGAAACTACTCTAAAGATAATTCCATGTTGAAAGCATCTTTCGATTAAACCCCTCCCCCCTTCCCCTCATACAACCACCATGTTACGTACTATGGGGGATTATTGATATTTGGTGAGAGTGTTATGAAACCGCAAACTTCAGCAAATTAGCTTGGACGTCTTATCTCTTATAAATCTAAATATTATTTTTAAATAATTTCACAAGAGAATCTCTCTCTCTCTCTCTCTCTCTCCCTTGTGAAGTTAATTTGATGATACGTTATTTTATCATTTATTATATTAATATATTAAAATAATTAATAACTTTATCGAAAAATTAATCGTTTCGATATAGAAATACTTTGTTTGTCAAACGAACAACGAAAACAATTTAATTTATACTAATATAAAATGAAATTCAAAAATGACTGTACGAAAAATATAATAAGTAACGTTGAAAGAATGAAAAAAAGGAAAAAAGGGATGAAAAGTAGGAGTACAATGAAAAACTTACAAAGTCAGTGTCACGATCAGTGTGTCGAGTAGTCTCGATCGAGCCAGAATCCCTGTCCTTGTTCTTTTCTCAAGGCCTTGGCTGACTCACAAACCGGAAGTACAGGGAACCCGAAAGTATACTCTGTTCTTCCGGTGGTAGAAGATAAGTTCAATGTAGCTCTCGTTTTTGGTCCATCGTTAAAATGGGATTCTAGAAACAACGATAGTTGGCAACGTTACGAATTTCAACTTTCTCATACCATTTTTCCTTCTCATCTATCCGCTGCTAAAGACCTTGAAATAGAAATCGTATCGATTTACAAATTTTTCATATTTTTTTCTATCTCTTTCAAGAAGCGTTTCATAAAGTTTAATATCAAATTTTGTCTGACATAGCAGCGTTTTACAAACATATTTTCAAAATTAATATAAATGTTATATATATACATATAAATGAGATGATAAAAATTATAAAGTTATTTAAAAGAAATTGTTATTGCAATGAATATATAAATTCGATGAATGAATCTTAAAAAAGATTTACACACAAGATTTGATATTAATAATATTAAAATACATACATTTAAAAGAAAAAAAAATAATAATAATCTTAAGAATTAAAGAAAAAAAGAGAAGAAAAAAAAAGAGAGAAAAAATACACCCCAAACGCATGTGTGTGGTTTGGTAAATAAAGAATTATCCTTGATAAATAAAAACGATATGAATTCGTCTATTAGTTAAATATAGCAAACATAATTAATGTATAAGAACAATATGATAGATTTTTTGGTTAGTCATGTTTCATTATTTCTGTTTGTTGATCTCTATTCTCTTTCGACCCTTAGCCGATTAGCCTCGCCATTGGCAAAGTCAGCTACGGTTACAACGACGAAATGAGGGTCACGCGTGTATAATCGATGCCGTACATGCAACGCCTTCCCCCACCATTAATACCGTGCAATGCGACCTCCGCACGCTCGACCTTGACGACTTTGTACGGAGAAACGCGACGAAGTACCGAGATAACCCGACTATTGCCGAATACCCTCTTCCGAATCGGAAGCGCTACCCTCGAGAGTTTCCATCTACTTTTCAGCATTTTTTCCACCTTTTTTTTCCCCCTTCCTTTTCTATTTCTTTCTTTTTCAGTTTTTTTTCTCTATTTTTTCTTTTTTTTCTTTTTCATCCTTTTCTTTCCTATACTCCGTCAATCCGTTTATACATCCATTATCGATTTTTTTTTTCCACTCTTGTTTTCTTCTCATTTTCTTCCTCGGTTATTTATTTTCTTTTCGTTTTTTTATATATATATATATATATATATATTTATTATTTTCATTAACAAAAGTATCTTCGTTTTTTCTCTTCTCTCTTTTTCTTTTTTTTTTTTCTTCTTTTTTATAATTTATTAAAAATAAATTAGAGGTCATTCGAAAAATCGCTGAGATTTATGTAAATGAATAACCAGATAGAGGTTAAGTGTTAAAGTAGATAGTCCATTTAAACGCTTTCACATTTTTTTATGATTCATTTATGTTTTATTTATTAATAATAGAAATTATTATTATTATTATTAAGTGTGCATATATAAAATGAGAAATACTCTCTTGAAAATTTATTTCATTCGATAATCAACAAATAATTTATTATTAATACATATAATACACGTTATTGAAACTTTGAAAATTTATCTCTCCAATACAAAAGGGAAGAAGACCCGAAATGTTCGTTTGAAAATTGAGATAACAAAAGAAATTGATTATACAATTAATTTAATTAAATAAAATTTTGATGATAAATTAATAAACGTTTCTGATCATGTATCATCACATCAGAATCTAATAATAATTCATTATATAATACAAACTATGCACATTTCAGTTCAAAAAATCAATTTATTTTTCAAAGTAATTAGTTATGTAAATTTCAGCAACAAATATACATTAATTAGGTTTAGTTTGATGTTCATTGATTAGGTATGAGCGTCGCGTACATGTTCTCAGAAGCAAATGTGTACGTTACCGTTGAAGCTTGAAATCCGTTAATTCGTGAAATAATTAGTTAAATTCTGATATTAACCCTAACTTTCATACTTTTACACAAAGTATGTAAGAAAACACATAGTTACATACTTTAACTAGGAAATATAAGAATTTACAAGATGCGATTTGTTAAAGTAGGAAATTGAAATTTGATCCGTAGATTAGTTCCAGTAGAACAACAAGTCTAACAGAACATTTGTTTTCAAAGTACAAGAAGAGATAATAACGGATAACTAAGAGCATTACTGTAGAAAGAGAAGCAAACTTTAAAGACGGATCAAATTTCAATTTCATACTCTAACTACTCGTCTTTCATGAATTCATATGTTACCTAATTATTTCATATATATATATAAAAAAAAAACAAGCTAATTAAAGCGTGTATTCAAATTTTTTTTAATATGCTCTTCCTGTAACGCGTAATCATTTCACGTATTACCTAATTATTTCATGATTAACCCTTATTATTAACTTTAACAGTAGAATATACACATAAATGCATATGCCAGTTACAGTGCCGATCGATTACTCAGATAGATTTAACCGACAACCGAAATCGAAATTACAATTGATCCTATTAATTACAGGCGCTTTAGTTAAACCTCTCTCTGCTTCTGTTTCTGTCACCTTACTTCATTCTCTCTCTCTCTCTCTCTCGCTCTCTCTCTCTTTGTGTCTCTACATTGTATATTGAATAACGTTAATTAGTAGTATACATTTAGTTGGAGCTCTTTGAAGAGTAATGACCATGATGTAAACAACGATCGTATTGCAATGTAAAATCGATGTTAATTTAATTATTAATTGTACCGTAAAAGACAAATATATAAGATACAATGAAATAAAATAAAAATTATAAAATTTATAGATACTCTTGCGTTGTTTAAAATATTATTGGCTTTGATAAAAACGTGTTGACGATACGTTCATGTACGCGATCATGTGCATTCATTGATGCAGTTAAAAAACTTCAAACGGTTACCCTTAGTACGTTAAACATTTTTACCGACGTATCGTTATTCTGTTTTATCATCAATTTGGTCGGTAATATTATAATTTCAATCATTCATTTTATATTACTGTCGATAAAACACACAATGTAATGCATTAAATATTATAATTGTATAAAATATTGAACTATATTATTTTTTATCAATTTCACAATTAAGACGCCATTTTATTAGATATAAAAATAAATATAGAAAATAAACTCGACCGATAAATTGGATAACATTAAAGATACTTCTAACTGCATCAAATGAAATTGAACTTAATTTCATATGATTAAACTTGTTATTCGATCATTACATTCGTATTACTCCTATTATTTATAGTATTTCAAAAATATAATTGAATAAATAATTTGCTCTATATTACGTATAGAAGAAAAAGTATAAATTAAAAGAAAAATTCGTATCTTGTTAACAAAATGCATACTTAATAATTATCCGTATCAAAACTAATCGGAAAACAAACAATATATAGTGAAAAACTTTTTCGATTGTAATTACCATTAATTTCCGGTAAATGATGTCTCAAAAGCTCGATCGTAGACATCATCAACGGATATCTACACTTACCTTAGCGTTCATTGCACCACCAGAGGTCGTCTCGGTATTTAAAGAGATACAAAAAGAAAATAAACAAAAATAAGCGGTGGGGGTGGAAGAGAAGGATAGAAGATTGGCGTATAAGTCGAGCAAAGCGTGTTCCGGCACGGCCAGTCTTAGGTCATACTAGAGACAACACGGACCGTTACGTTAATGGTTGTTTATTCGGGTTTTTATTATATTTTTAATCTAACAATATATACATTATTATAATCCTCTTTCTCTCTTACGTTTAAATATAAGATACATCATATATTCTACAAGTGAAATAAATTAATAATTAATAATATATATATATATTGATAAGAGAGATAATTAAACAAGAAGGGACAGTATTGAGACAAAAATATTTGTTTGGTGGAGAAGAAAAAAAACAAATAAGAATTTTTAAAATAGGAGGGTATATTATTGAAGAAGTATAGGATTATATATATATATATATATAGATAAGAAGATAAATAAAGAGAGAAAGAGAAGCCGGTAATAGTTATAATACTTGGTGATCCGCGCCAAGAAGAAGAGAGTTATCGATCGACCGATTCGCGCGACCTCGTCGGCATGCAACGTCAGAAGAGAACGGCTAATCGCCTTTACTTTACGACAATTCTACTCTGGTAAAAAAGAAAAAAAAAAAAACAAGAAATAAAGACAAAGAGAAAGAAATAGAGGGGGATGTGGAAGGGATAAAAGGGAAAGAAAGAAAGAAAGAAATAAAGAAACAAGCGGCGAGATATTAGACAAAATATAAGAACTAATAATAAGAAAGGTATAGATTGATTGATAGAGATAGACTATAAGAAAGCGAGAAAGAAAGTGTGACAGATTAAGAAAAAAACAACATAGAGAGAAAGGAAAAGAGAAGAAGAAGAAGAAGAAGAAGAAGAAAAGAGAGAGAGAGAAGATATGTAGGTTAACTATGAGATGTAGCACACAGAGAAAAAGAGAAAAAAAAACAAACGAAATATATACAAATAACTAATCAATCAACATACATCTAATCTAATCTAATCTAATCTAATCTAATTTTATTTATTATTGCATTCATTTTCCCTCCTCAATTTAATATTTATTTTTATTTAAATATAAATACATAAATGCAATATATATATATAGAAATTAAGCAAAATTGTCGCGCATGCGTATTCACAACCTTTTCTCTCTCTCTCTCTCTTTCTCTTCTTTTATGTTTCCTTTTAATTATTATAATAATATAAGAGTATCTCTCTCTCTCTCTCTCTCACACACACACACATACACACAGTCGAGCAACCATTTAAAAACAAACCCGGAGTTAAAGCGAGTGTGTGTGTGTGTTCTGTTCGGAATAGTTCGGTTTCTTTCGTCCCTAAACGCGTTCATTGCGCGTTCTTCTCTGAAGAACCGAAGAAGCACGAAAGATTCCGATGGTAGTTCGCCAAAATCCGATGGCATCGCGCCATTGACGGTTAGCCGTCGTCGCGTCGTCGTTCGTTTTATCGAGCTAAACACAACACCCACGCACATCGCATGTCATTTCTCTCAATTGTTTTCATTTTTCTTCTACTCCTTTCTCTTTCTATATATTTATTATCTTTCTCTCTCTCTCTCTCTCTCTCTCTCTTTCTATTTATTTCCCTTTCTTTCTCTCTCTCTCTCTCTCTCTCTGCTTATCTTTCTCTCTTTCTCCTTTCTTCTTTTTCTGTCTGTTTCTCAAACCTTTCTTTTTTATTCCATAACCTACAAATCTATTTCTACAAAGTATACATTTATCATTGGCGTTCGTAATAATTTATTTCGGTTTCCATACGTGTTAGAATAAAAAAGTGAAAATTTAAGTTTTATCTTCTATATTATTATCTTTTTTTTTTTTTTATCCCCACTCTTGTACACCTTTCTTGATTTATTTCTATCTAATCATTTTGTGTAACTAACTCCGTATCGTATTTTTTAACACGTCGAGTTCGCGTGTGTCTTCCCTCGCGTTGTGTGATTATTATTATTATTATTATTTATTTATTTTTTTCTCTCTCGTTTTCGTTTGTGACTTTTTGTAAACAAAGAAGAAGAGGAGGAGGAAGAAGAAGAAAAAGAAGAAGAAGGATAACATAGTGAATTGATACGAGATGACGGCAATGTTGGTGTCTGTCGCAGAATTGTCGAACATTTTTTCTGTCCTTGCTGTACTGATATGTTTCTGCGGGGTCTTCTTATTTATTATGAGGTATTTATTATCTTTAATATATATATTTAAAATTTCACATCTATAATATTTTAATTTAATATAATACCCAAAATAATATTACTATATATTCATTACGTATATACATGTATCAATAATTATATTACCATATATATTACTATATATTGTCTCTATATTCAAAAGTAACTAACTATATTTTTCTCTATTTGTCAATGAGAAAAGAATTTTTTTAAATTAACTAACCACATTATTCCATAAAAAAAGGATCAATAACAGCGTGTAAAAGTATTAATAAAAAAGCATACTTTTCTCGAAATTTATTTTTCCCATTAAAAATTTGTTTGACGAGCAATCACTTAAAATTAGCATAAATATTAGTTAGTGACTTTTGGCTGAACATATGGTTTCAACACATTATTATATGCAGGAGTCTCTCAGTATTTTTGCACAAAATAACACCAGCACGTTTGATATGTGAAAAATAAGAAATAAATGATATACAAATATGGTGATAATACGCTTTAAAAGTTATTAAAAAAGTATAATACGACAATGGAATAATGATTTTTCGTCGAAATAGTATAAAAATTCAACGCCGATGTGTCTGTTTCAATATACACGACAATAACACATTCTGATTTTATTTTTTTTCAAGAAAGATTAACTGCACAATCTTTTTTTAGATATTTTTTTCCAAAAATAATTATCATTGGTAAAATTTATGTGAATTCAATGATATAGTTGTTTAATACATTATATGATATTGGTTAAATAATATTTATTTACTTAATTTATTTATATATTGATCGTTCAAATATTCGATTAAAATTAATTATTATTATTATTATTAAGCAAAATTTAAAATACGATAATGACCGGAAGAAGAACTCTTCTTCTTATTTTTTTTTTTTTTTTTCTTTTTAATATTTCCTCTCTTTTATGTTTATATCGAATTGAATAATCCCGGAAGTATAATTGATTTCTTGTCATGCATAACATTTTTATGCTTGACGTCTGTTAGTGACGAGACATATAAATAAATCAAGATCCTGATTTTATTTTATTTTCTTTTCCGTATCTTACGACATGTCTTTTTTTTTCCGTAAGACAGAAGAGGAAAAAAAAATCAAAAACTAAAGATAATTATTACGTGTTTCTAATGCAATGAAATGAAGTAAAAATTAAATTACAAGTCCGAGGTTGGTCATCGTTCACTGCTTTTATATACTTATATGTATATATATATATACTTAAATCGAAACATTATTTACTGTATAATTATATATACAATGTAATAATATTATTTAACTCATTAAATATCCTAAATTCAAAACTGTACTTTGTAGTATTCCGTTCGATCTCATTGTTATCGAAAATTATTAATTTGTTGTTTCTATAAGTTTAACACTTATTTTTTTTTGTTTAATCATTGATTAGCTGGTATCGTAATTTTTTTTGTTTTTTTTTTTTTAATTAATTTATTTTACATATGTAATATTTCAGTCTTTTTAAAATTATATATAATTAATATATAATTATATATTTGACATTGACGTTCATTTAAAATATCATCTCCGTAAGTGGTATAAAATTATGTTTTTGCACTAAATTATTATCCTTACGGTAATAAAAAAAAAAAACAATGCATTTCTGATGCCTATGGCAGAAAAAAAAGCTACTTAATAGATCGAAACACAAGGTTCTGAATCATTCCTGAAGTGTTTGTTGCTAAAATATAAATTTGATTTTTAGGTATAGAGTAAACTTAAGTATTTGTAAATGCGATTAACGAGAAATTTATATTTTGTATTTTATTATCATTTATAATGGATGGTAATTATTTAAAATATTTGTTTTCTCTTTTTTTTTTCTCATTCCATTTATTTGATTGAGAATTGGATTAAAAAAAAAAAAAAAGAAGAAATAGGATGGAAAGGATTTATATTAGCAACGTAACTGTCATTTCTCTCTTTGACATATCGAAAATTTTCTCGAATGATGTTACTTTCAAGTAGATTCGCGAGAACGCGTCTTGAAAGTAGGTAACTTGAAAGTGTCTTCTTTGTAGATACATATATGTATGTATATATACATACATATATTTGTAAATCATCAAACACCTATATTTACTAATTGTAAGTAAGTAAAATTCCCTTCTGTTATTTTATACACATATCTCTAATATTTGTTTTGTAAAAAATAATTTTCGATGTGTTTTAGAAAAGCAAAAAATTGTATTTTTCAATAGTATCTCTAAAATTTAAATCGAATATGTAATCTATCAGGGGGATTGTTGTATGTGAACAATAAAAATATATTGATCTTTGGATAAACGAAACATACGTTATATTCCAAATGATTTGAAATTTGATTAGATTAAAGGAATTCAATTAAAAATGATACAAATTAATATATAAATCATTTTGTTTTCTACTATTGATTTTTTTCACATTTTTAATTTATGTATTTTTATTTAATTTGTTTAATTCAATTTTTGTCAGTCTTACTTACAATTAATAAAATAATCTAAACGAATAATCATGACGCTAAAAACGTAACAAAAGGAACCTTTTTGATCAAATCTAACATTCGAATTTTTGTTGTTGGTAATTTACATCTCTAATGTAAATTGTATTCCTTGTATTTTTTTCTCATAAATAAATCATAAGTAGACATATTCATATTAATTCGATTAAAATTTCTAATGAGCATTACATGTTAACATCTTACATATGACAGAGGGCAATGATCGATTTGTTAATTATTTACATAATTAATACATTCGATTCTTTAAAAATATTTACATATTATAAATTATATATTTGATTATTTATCATACACTTTTTTTTATTTATTTTGCTTTTCATTTTTCTTTTTTTAATATTTTTTTTTTTCTAAGAAGAGAAAAACAAGAAAGTAATTCTTAACCCTTCTTTGCATGATGATGGAAATTTCAATCATAATATTTAGTCAACAAAAAAAGGTACTCAAAACCCTTGTACTGTATATTTGTTGTTGCTGGCAACTTCAATTAAAAAAAAAAAAAAAAATCATGCAAAGAAGGGTTAAGTTTACGAATGGTATAAATAAAAATTAGTAAAAAATAAAAAAAAAATTAGTAAGAATATTTATGATTGTAAAGTAATTGTATTTTTAATGATTGCCAAGAATAAAAAGTAAAATTTATGCTACTCATATATATATAGATACATACCAGGTGAGTCATATGAATATCTTAGCTATTTTTTTTATGACAGAATAGAATTTCTAAACAGCGAATATATTTCACTAGTAAAGGCTATTATAATGAATGGAAAAAAAAAATGTTTATCTATATGACATATTTACTACATATTTTCTACAAAAAGTATGTCGTCGACACATATTTTTTATTTCTTATT